TCTTGAAATTGAGAACACAAGAGGCCGAAGAGAAATATAAGAAGTATTAAAATAAATTAGTAGCGATTATAAGGAAACACAAGAAGGAATATTATAGTGATTTATTAAATAAAAGTAATGGTGATATGAAAGCTACATGGCGAGTAATAAATAGTGTTCTGAAAAGTCACAAAGCAAAAACAGGTATTTCACAATATTTTTTGAAAGATGACAATGAAATCCATGATGACAATGAAATTGTAAATGGATTTAATCGTCATTTTGTGAACGTTGGATCAAGTCTTGCAGCTAAAATACCAGAAGTAAACAATAATGTGAACCATTCAGCTATAAGTTGTGACAACAGTATTTTTCTTAATGGGACTGACAAAGAAGAAATAATGAATGTTGTAAAAAATCTTACAGATAAGAGATCAAAAGACTGGGTGGACATGGATATGATGTTTGTAAAGGACATAATGAGTTATGTTATCGAGCCGTTTACATATATTTGTAATTTATCATTTTCAAAAGGAATATTTCCAGACAATATGAAAGTAGCTAAGGTAGTTCCTCTCTTTAAAAATGGTGATAAATGTGTGTTCAATAATTATAGACCAATATCCTTATTACCACAGTTCTCAAAAATTCTAGAAAAACTGTTTGTGACCAGATTAGATAAATTTATTACTAAACAAAACATTCTAAGTAGCAGTCAGTATGGGTTTAGAGCAAAAAACTCTACATCAATGGCTCTCATGGAAATAATAGAACAAATAACTTCTGCTGTCGATCAAAAACAGTATTGTGTTAGTATTTTTGTTGATTTAAAAAAAGCATTCGATACTATTGACCACACTATTCTCCTTGAAAAATTAAATAAATATGGTATAAGAGGACCAGCATTACACTGGGTATCTAGCTATTTAAAAGATAGGAAACAGTTTGTACAAATAAATGGTGTAAGATCTGACCTCTGCAATATCACTTGTGGAGTTCCTCAAGGCTCTGTACTTGGACCAAAGTTATTTATTTTATATGTGAATGACTTAGTGAATGTATCAGGACTCCTCAAATGTGTCCTTTTTGCAGATGACACCACATTTTTTTGTTTGGGTAAAGATGTAAAACAGATGTTGGAATTAATGAAGACAGAATTTGATAAAATACAAACTTGGTTTAAACTTAATAAATTATCATTAAATTTAGATAAAACTAAATACATGATATTTAGTAACAAAAAGAGAACTGTTGATGATCCATTTAAAATTGAGGGTGTTGAGATTTGTAGAGTTAATGAGATGAAATTTTTCGGTGTAATCATTGATGAACAGCTATTATGGAAAAATCACATCAATTTTGTAAGAACAAAAATATCTAAATCTATTGCAGTACTATACAAAGTCAGGGAATTATTAAATGATAAAGCTCTGTACATGTTGTATAACACAATCATTGTTCCACATTTAATCTATTGCATTGATGTTTGGGGGAAAGCATGTAAAACATTTACAAAACCTATTTTTATTTTACAGAAAAGAGCTGTAAGAATTATCACCAGAAATCATTACAGTCACCCATCAAGCACATTATTTTATCAACTGAACTTATTGAAGTTCCATGATTTGGTAGATTACAGTATTTTATCAGTTATGTATAGGGCTCAAAATAACACATTACCATTAAATATCCAAAGAA